TATCCCGGTCGGGGTATATCTATGCATGCAGCCGTCACATTTCGCCTATGCTCAAAGATCCTCCCTTGGCAGATTCTTCAGCTGCGCCTTGTGCAGCGCCTCTAGCTGCTTAAGCACCCCCACACTCCAGTGTCCCTTGTTTCCAGTGTGCCTGTCCTTGATCACCCGTACGGCCTCAATCCACTGTTCATCTGAAGCCCTCGTGGCCCTCCTCTTACCCGCGTCCGTCTCGGCCGCTCTGAAAGTCGGCCAGATGCCCTTGGTCGCGCCGAACTCCTCCTCCAGGAAAGTATCCAGCAGCAGGTGCGCCACCTTGCGCTGAGCGCCTTCCCACTCATTGCCCGCCGCCCACTTCTCGCCGCCCGGCTTCAGAACCTCTAGCAGGCGATCCATGCCCTGGTTGGCGAGGAAGTCATCCCGCACGACCGGGCTCCGCAGCAGACCGTGCAGAGCATTGACGCGCGCCTTGGCTCGCGCCGCGGCGAGGGCAAGCTCACCAACCATCAGCGGCTCGCCCGGCACGAACGGCGCGTACATCTTCTCGCGCAGCGTGACGCCGTCGCCCTCACCGCCCTGGGGCGCGTTACACTTTGCGTCGAGGAAGCCGAGCCAGGCGTTGCCGACGAGCTCGGTGGCGTCCGGGTTGTTTTGTAGCGCGGCGGCTATGATGGTCGCGGCGCGCTGGTCCCGCGGCGCCAGATCCTCGGTCGTCGCCTGCGAGGGGCTGGCCATGAGACAAAGGAGGGCGTGGACGGTCTCTGGGTTCTCGGCGATTTTGTCGCCATAGTACATGTCGTGCGAGATTTCTTCGAGGAACTCGAGCGCCTCGTCAAAGGGAAGGTCGGCGCCGCCGGGGCCCTTTTTGATGAAGTCGAGATGCGTATAGAACTGCGGCGACTCCTCCTTGGGCGGCTTCACCTGGCCAAAGGCCTGTAGACGGGGGCGGCAAGGGATCGGCGGCGCCTCCTCTGACTCTCCCTCCTCGGGTTCGACGACGATCATGCTCGAATCGACGGGGAGACCTTCAAGGGCGGGGTTCTCCTCGTCTGGGACGTTGATCTTGGCTTCTTTGCGGCCGGTAGTCATGTCCATTCTGATGTGCAGGCCGTTGGGGATGTCCTGGTCATCGCGGATAACCTGGAATTCGTGCGTCGCTTGGAAGACCTTGGGATAACATTCTGCCGGGTTGTCCGTGTGACATATCAGCTCGCCCTCGACTGGTGGTGACGGTCGCGCGTCTGGCGCCCGAGCAGATGTGAGAGGAACGAGGAGGACGAGGCTGAGGATGACGAAGAAAAAAGACAACGTCAACGACGCGCCACGCGCTCGATTTGACCTCGCCATGGCTTATAGTTTGTAGAGGATTACTCGACAGAGGTTATGCGCGAGAATCAGTGATGGGTTTTCGTGATACTTGAATGCTTCGAGGCCAATGAGACGCTTCGCTGTCTTGAGACAAGCACAGGCGCAGCTCATGAAGTTGTTGGAGATGGTAAATGAGGAACAAAAATGCCTTCGGTGAGAACGTTTGATCAGTCCAGTGACCGGTTTATAAGATTGTAAAAGAATGAGTCAAAGTGTAAAGGACAGTTCACTGTCGCCCCAATCGAAGTCCCTAGAAGCCCGTCTCGGGCATCTGGACAACTTGTCTCCATCGTAGGAGCGAAGCCCAGCATTATAATTCGGCAGCCTGCTATTGGCCATGACAACCGCGCGTATCCGCGTCTAGAA